TTCATGATCGGTAGAAATTTCTAAGGTGATCGAAGTTACACCACACTACCCTAGTTAAAATATAGAATTATAAATGATTTTTACTGATAGGACAATTTATTTTCATACGAAAAGCCAGAATATGGAATATTTTTTTCTCAGAAAATTAATAAAATTATTACTTGAGCACTATTCACTAAGAACATAACACCAACAAAAAGTTTTGGTCTTAAACTGATAAACAATTTATCTTGTTTTGCTGAAGAAAAAAAAATCCAAAAAGTTGCAGGAAAAAAAACAACACAAAATATTTTAAAGTATAACTAGAAATATGCCCAATATGAGTTATTTAGAATACTATTTAGCCAGCTTTTCTAGGATCAACCATTTCTGATTTTCTCTTTACTAAAGATCCAATATAAGGATAAACTTACCATCAAAGGTACCCAGCATAGGGAAAATAATGTCACAAAGGAGAACAAAAAGACTGTAATGAAAACATCGCCTCTTTTCTTTCTACTTTTGTTGGGTGCAGATCTAGAAAATCTTGATTTTCTGCAAATGGAACAAAATAACTGTTGATAGAATAGCAAACCCAATGATAGAATATATGTAAGTGTTCACTCTTTCCAATTGACCATTGTTTGCGAAGTCTAGAATGACCCTGGGTAAAAGTTTTTTACAGGTCCAACATCCAAGAAATTTAAATACGATACAACACCAGAAAGGAGCCATGTCAGAGCAAAAAAAATATTAACTCGCTTTCTCTGAGAATCCCGATACGAGAAAGGAAACCTTACTGCCATAAAGCGGTCAAAAGACATGGCACTCACAATCAGGGCTGAAGACAGAAAGCAGAAGGAGAACCAGAAAGAACAGTATTCACACATCTGTTTGGGAAATTCAAAGGTAAACCTTGAAATGTAGCGTATCATGACGGCAGGGTAAACAAAACCTATTTCACAAAAGTCCGTGATGGCAAGGCAACCAACCAGCTGGTAGAACGGCTTTCATTTGTGCTCATCTGAAGACTTACACAGAAGAAACATGGCTATTATGTTTCCTAGAACTCCGAAGGAGTACTGGAGGACAGGAGGCACAATACTTTCTGAAATAATTTATAATAACTCGGTAGTGTTCAAATGGCTGGAATTGTTTGTTCTGTTGTTAATCCACCATCTTTCCATGTTCCTCGACTTTGTTCAAAACGACATGTATATATCCTTCGATTAATTCAGTTAAGCACTTCAATGTTGGAAATGATCTGTGATGATGGAATTCGTTGCAAAGACGCTACAGGCTATATTTAAGATTTACTGCCCACGCTTAGTTTGAGATCCCATCACCATATCATAAAAATGGAGGACAAATAAAAGTATTAAATCTGAATATCTTTAAAAAAAAATCTGACATAATTTTTCGTCGTCCTTTTTACAGATTCTGGATATGATCTCAATGCATATTACCTTTTATGTTCTGTTCAGACTAGGTAAGTCTATTCTTTCATCTGTGTAAACGTTCGCAGAGGAATGCCTGGCATTGATTGATTTATTTTCCTCATTATTATTATTTATTTATTTATTTATTTATTGTTCTTTATTGTTTCGAGTACAAGATCTTCTGAATCTGTAACTAGAACTAGCAGGTACCTGCTACAAACATTAAGTAAAAAATGTCATTTTAATTCGACTTCTACTGCAAAGACAAAGGAAACTATGTATATCATCCGATAGAATATTTTCTGTTTTCTCTTTGAAATTCATCAAGACCATCCCTGAATTCATTGCCTACTTATATTCTATGATAATATATATATATATTTTTAAAAAGTATTTGTATTGATGTCGCTTATATTTTTTTATTTATCTGGGACAATATTGGATTTAAGATAATATAAATATATTTGACATTGATCCGTTGGTGCCATTACAATGTATATCTCACCTGCATGCATTTTGCGTGAAATGCAGAAAAGGGTCAAATAAATGCTGCCAATGACAAAAAAATAATTTTATGGAAGGAAAATACTAAATGAATACCCTGAAATACTTTTTTTTAAATTTCAAAGTTCAAAGATGCTAAATATCTGAGAACTTGAATTACCCTTAAGAGATTTGTTTTCATTTATTTGCTAACTTTCTGTATACTATAACAACGATAAGCGTTACTTTGGTGTTTTAATTAAACTTAATCAGTCAGGTACCGAAGCCCGATCCCCTTAATGGTAAATGATATCTTTGGTTAATTAAATACCGAAAAATGTCTCTTGTCAGGCTAATTGATATTGCCAATGGTGTCCTGGGTTGATACAGGGTGTGATAGGGAAAAGGGTACACAGTATAATAAATTGCGGTGCTAGGAATGTTATTCTCTTATTATACTCTTTCTGCATATGTAAGCGTAATTTATTTTATGAGTGATATTTATTCCATAAGTGACATAGTGGTATTTTATTCGACTTCATATATAATCAAAAGATATGGATAATATGCATAAAACTTCATCAAAAATCAGCATAGAGTAAATACCTTTATCATTGTATTTATACATTAATAAATGTACAGTGTATTAGTCGTAAGTATTCATTTAGATATTGTATTCGTAAAAGTTTTTTCTTTATCCTAAACAATATTGGATATTTTGCATCCACGCCATGGAAATAAGGAAATATATGTGAACCAATGGTGTTCGCGTCGTCAGCTAAGCTAATCATTTATTTTTAATTCCCGAATGTTGTTCACAATCTACATGAGATGAAGCTTGTTTAAGAGTTGACAGAGCACCGCTTAAGTTAGAAGACTTACACACCAAATGCAGACGACAGTAGAATTTAAGCACATAAATATAAATACTAGTATAAGAAGCGGCCAATTTGGAAGTCATCCCGTTTGTCAATAGTTTTTTAGTTAGTTGTACATAAGTGTCTATATTTATCAAAGTATCCAAATATGACATGGATGGAAAAAAAACTTGATAACAGTTTTAACTAATATTCACTGTGACGTACCCATTGTGTCGTTTTTATTGTGTGATGAAAACGCAGAAGGTGAAATATGAAGATAACGACGAGTAATCAAGCTCAAAAGTCCATTAGAAAATACACTGGAGAAGAGCAAACACGGACTGTTAAAAACACCAGAGTTCTGATCAGGTGCCATAGAGGGGTAAGCATCCACTGCCGACCGGTCACACCCGCTGCTGCTCCTTCTTATGGTCGGGTAAACTGAAAAATTCGTTAACAATTTAAGTGTGAAAATAATGTCCTAACGATTGAAATGAAAAAATGTCAGTCAACATTCGACTTAACGATAGATTGTATATGCTAACAAGATCATTGTATCGACCGTAGAATTTGCGAAATGTTGATTAAAGGAGATTTTGAAATCCTTGTATAACCAACGTATTTGTCAATAGCTTGCCTCGTTTTAGAAATTGTTCGTAAATAGAAGACGCTCTCGCATATCGAAGCATTTGGAAGGCATAAACTCCATATACAGGCGAAAATGGTGTACTGCTACATAGTTAAGGGATATTGACGATAGAAAAATTGAAGTCATGTTTATGATAGTTTTTAATAGTTTGCTTTTAGTGTCTTCCTCTAGTAAAATATCCAAAAAAGTATAATAGATCTAAACACCTGTAATGGTATAATATCAAATTTTATATTGTTTTATAAAAGGCAAGAGAATTAAACGTTAGAACCAAATCTTGTCATCAAATACCTCTTTTAAACTTTGTATCACTCTGGGAGGGGGTCATTATTCAACGGGGATCAATTTTTAATATGTTGAAATTTTTTAAGAAAAAAAATCCCCATCCCTACCGACCCAAATTTTTCATCCTGGGTCGGGAGAGGGCAAGCAAACAATATTTTAAAAGTTGGGCTCAGGTTATTTTCTGACTAAATCTCATAAAACATCTCGGTTATCAATTGTCTAACATTGCTATATTTGGATATAAAAGTAAAATTGAACGGGAATACATATGGAATAATTTTAATAGATAAATACAAAAATATTGAAAATTATTCAGTGTTCAACCTCTAACTTTTTACAATTTTTTTGCTTTTTACTTTTCACATGTTCAACTTCTCAAGAGCCACTGGGCAAATTTACCCCACTCCTCGGGTGAAAGGGATTCAGTATTGTTCAAATGAAGAGTCACGCTGTCTTTCAGGCAAGTATAATTTTTAAAAATGCAGGATCATACAAAATATTCTTTTCAAAAAAAAAAACACTCGACCAAAAATAATGTAAATTAAGTAAAGTTTCTGACATAATATAGATTCAAGTTTGTCTACATCCGCTGGTGTAAAAGAGAGTCCAAAATAGACGATAGAGGATTTGAACATGGGAAATATAGGATAATTAAAACTTCAAAATTCGTCGTTTCGGGATCAGCATGGCCATGATTATTAGTCAGATTAATATGCAATCATCTTCACTCTCTCAGTTAATTTTGTTCAAACTCAAGGCCCCTCGGGTAAAGGGTGTGCCATAATGAGGCAAAAGTTTACATTGGAATGTATAGAAAAATATTCTAGAATTTCTCTTGATTAAAACTAGGTTCATGATTGTTGACATTTATATGCAAGTTTTCTTAGGGGGTGTAGAATGAAATTTGTTCAAATCATACTCCTCCCCCCTCCAAAGTAAAGTGAGGTAGGGTGGAGCCCTAATAGTGTATCCAAGTTTTATATGGAAATGTATAGGAAAAAATTGAAATGTTCTTCTCAAGAATAAGAGGGTCAAGATTAGGGATATTCATTTGTGAGCATATTTAGGTAGTGGAGATTCGAGTCATTGCCCCCTTACCCGGGGTTACATGGCAAAAAGAACTGTAACATATTCTGATTGTACAGCAGGGCCAAGGTTACTCTGGTGAGCGTTGTTGCCTATCGGCCTCTTGTTGAAACCATATTTTACAGTTAACAATTGCAAAACTGCAAACCAAAACTGGTAATGCTAAGAGCGCAGAAAAATCCAATTATATCAGCCTTTTGAATTCACCTATTTTTTTAATTCCAGTAAGGATATTTCGAGTTCATCACTACAAGAACTAATGGCGATATGACTGACATGCTCCCCAACGCAGGTAAATATTTATCATGCCCTATCAATTTAATTTTTGTTATTTTTTTTAAGTGTAAATGCTAATCAAATTGGAACAACAGTTCCACTATCATTGAGTGTTTTCCTTGTTGACATTATTTTACTCAGTATCGATTATGTTACGCTTTCCCTTCTCATGAAATGTACTCGGTATCGATTATTTAGTGTGTATTTTCCTTGTCGATATAATGTTTCTCTGTCAGCATAGTCCCATCCTTTGATGACAATCATCATTTTTATACAATATATGTATAATGCTATAGATAAATAATCAAGTGGAATTCAAGCACTGCAGGATTTCCGAGTTTGGTTTTTCCTAATAAGAATAAGGGTATGTATGATCATTATTTTAGGACTTTCAGAATAGTAAAAAGTAAATTATAGCATGTCAAGGAGACTGCGGATGGCATTGGTTTTCTTTAGGATGGTTGAACAAAGGTCAGGCGCGGATCTAGGATTTTTCCCCAAGGGCGGTGGGGGGAGGTCAATTCGGGTAAAAAAAATCCCACCAAAAAATTCCTTGAGGTGATGATGGTGGAGTCCAAGCTTTCTAAAGGGGGGGGGGGTTCCAAAGTTTAATAACTCTGCAAATTCCAGGGGGGGGGGGGAGTACCGTACCCCTCCCCGACCCCGACCCCCTCTAGATCTGCGCATGACGGTTGTTCTTAATTATATGCAATATTTACAAATTCATGCATGAATAATTACATGATCTCGGTGTAAAATGGGTATACAAAGGATTAAGAGAAATAACTCCAACAAAATTATTGGTTAGGCATCAGACAGGGAAGGTTAAAATAACAAAACTAAAGTAAAATCGACCTTGAAAACGTAAGGTACGTATTCTACGAGTGTTTGAGGCGCACATTCCATGTTCGTGTTTTGTTTACCAGAGTTTTAATATGCGTCAAATGTCGTCAGTATATAGTCATAAATGAGTCTAAATGTCTTATGTTTCTTTTTTCATTGTATATTTCAATAAACAAAACAAACACTTTTTTTTAAAAAAAAATATTATGAGCTCAATTTTAGCCCAATTTTCATGATTTTTTAGCATATTCTTTTTAAATTTTCTTTTACCAGGATGCCTTAGTAACAGTAAACTGATCATGTGTATCTAAAAAAAAAAGTAATGAAATCAAAAAGGTAAATTTTCTCGAACCAAAATACTATGATTTCTTAACAAATTTGTGCCTTAAAATTTTTACTTTGTATTTGTTTTGTGTTTCCACCAAAATGCCTACAGAAAAACATATTTTAAAATAATGTGGATTACCTACGCAGAACAATAGACAGTTATTCTTCAAATATTTCATATCTTGTAAAATTAATATACAGTTATATTAATGTCGTGATTAAGTTTCCACAACCTTTATACTCTTCGATAATTGTATCTGGTTGTTAAACTGTGATGATTAGGTATCAGAAGCATTGAATTTGATGAAAATGATATACAACGTATATCTGCATCTAAGATAAGTTGAACGGTGTCTCTGTCAAACTTTTAAAACTCTCCTCAAATGTGATGTTCTTGCATATATATTCAACTTTTCTATATTTTCATGTACATTTGGTGACTGAAAAAAAAACAAGTGTTGTACCTTTTTCGAAAAAAAAAATTCAGGGGATGAATATTTAACAACTGTATCCCTTTTACCCTTTGTCAGCAAAATTTTGGAGAGTTATGTTGTTGTTTTTTTTTATTCATTTTATGAGTTTTTTCATCTTCTCTCATGTTAATACAACTATTAACTGGAGACGTCTCTATCAGATAAAATTGTCAATAGAATAGGCATTCTAGTGTACAAAGCATAACATTGATAAACGCCAGATTACCTAAATGTTTTCAAATATGTATCAGAAAATAGCCACAGGCAAACAAGAAATTCCAATTCAAATGTACTGTCTGTTACTCCCGGAAAAAAGACTGAGTATTTTAAAAGATCTTTCAGTGTTTCAGGTAGTAATATTGGATTAACTTGAGTGAAAATATTAGAAATTCAACGAGTATAGTATGTTTTAAGAGAAATTATCTTAGAGACTATATCGCCGTACTTTCTCAATTTTATTTGGTACTTGTTTATTTTATATTCACAATTACTTATTTAGCTTATATGTACATTACCCTATTTCCTCTAAACTATGAATATTCTAATACTAAGTGTATGTTACATGCAGGACCATATCGAAAACTAGCTTTGTTGCGAAATATGTCATTCTGGATAAAATAAAGGCTTTATTACTATTGATGTTATCTTTTTTCAGACTCACTGCTGCTGTATATTTGTATCTCGGATGACTCATAATATACAGACATGTTAATAATGTATATCGAACGTCTGCTACCTAGAAAAAATTGCAGTCATGACAAACATTGTGTAAGAATAGTTCGAGTACATATATTTTCGTCTAGAAAATTACTTACTCTATGCTCATTGCCGAGCTAGATGAAAAAGAAATGACTATAACTTTTTAGGGTGGAGGAGGTTCAGATAAGTTCACAAAATGAACGAAAATACTGAAACTACGTTTATTGGAAACTCCTTCAAATGTTAGTGATAATACCTGGCCTCAAAGCATACTACTACGTGTAATTTCACTAATATTTCAAAGATTTGACAAACAAAGAAACAGGAATCCGTATCTAAGCTAGATTCTCAAGTAAAATCAATTTCAAAATCCCCTTGTCATAATTCTTTTCTTAAAACGACCTAATTAAACTATTTTTTTAAGTGTTAGACAAGCAACAAGCTGATATTAAGAGAGGTGTGACTGGTCGACAGGGGATGTTTACTCCTCCGTGCTACCTATGAATTTTACAGGGTCCTCGTTCAATGCCCTGTTAAAGAATAGCATTGTTTGTTGGTTTTTGTGATAAATCACTTTTCATCATTTTCTTCTTTTTTCATTGAACAATTGGTTTAAAAATCGCTGTGTTGCTAATTCCCTTCATATTTTTCTTTTTTATTATGTTCATGAATATCTTAAGAGATGGTTTTATGCAAGTTTAGAATATTTAGATGTTTTTGTGTTCCTAGCTTATAATTACTTTATCTTCTTTTAATTGTATAATATATATCTTTAAATTGCATTTGAACTCAATATTTAAAAAGTTTAAAAATAACGGTGACACAATTCATTCTATAATATATTTTTTTTTTTATTTCTCGGAATCTTTTTTTTCATTATTCTTATAATTAGTTTTACATATCCATAACAAAGAAAGATCAATAATTTTAAGAACAGTACTAGACTTTCATCAGTTATATTTCGTAAGGCTCAATTGATATGCAATGCAAATATCCGTATCATGTCAACCATTGCGCAATGCAATTTTTTAAGGTCATAGACTAGATAAAAGACGGTCAAAGGCTCTACAGAAGTGTGATCATCTACCTTCACAAATATAGGAAATCAACTGAGCAAGGCGACCTAAAATAGTTTTTTGTAAGTATCAATTTTTTTTCCAGTTTATTGTGTTGATGCCTATTTATTTAATATACTTACGAAACATTATCTAAGCTGCTCCTTGCATCGTACATATGCATATTTTATCTCGGTTATACGCCCTAGATACGAGTTTCCTTCGGAATTAAAAATTACCTGTTTAATTTTTATGTCCCCATTTTCCTGCGACTGTCAAATATAATTTGAATCTACCAGCTCTTATAAATACTTTATTTATCTCTACCGCAAATCATGTTTTGATTTTATTCTTTTTAAATACTTCTAAAGATTGTGTCACACATATATAAACATGAAATGTGAAGTTACATGAAACTTACACCTATCATTAAAAATACAAATTGAGATCAACTGACATAAAGCAACCATAATTAATTTCAATGGATTGTTTTGTTTTTGTTTTTTTTTTTCTTTCCTGATCTCACTAATCTTATTAAATGGTTTATGATCTTGTATATTTTCAGTATTTTGAGAGGAGAGCTTTAAACATGGTAAGGTTAGGAGACTTCCCGTGGAATTTTCTTGCTATCCTCCTCTTTGTGTTACTGGGTCAACACACCTGTAAGTGTACTCTTTATAAATCTCAAACATAAAAGCTCTAACCTTTCTACTGCCTTTCTCTGCAAATGCTAATATGATTGAAATATTTGTTAGCTAAGCAACTGGTACTACATGAATCAAGCAGTGTATCATATATTTATTTATTGAACTTTACAGGCATGAATTTTAACCCTTATCATTCATTGCATATTCTGTACATACATACAATAATACTTACATACACATACATATATATATATATATATATATATATATATATATATATATATATATATATATATATATATATATATATATATATATATATATATATATATATATATATATATAAAGCAATAAAATTTCAAAATTCAACGACCATTGTAAATGTGCTTTAAAAATAATAAAAAATTAATGTGTTTTGAAACGATCCCCTGATAAAGTAATGTTTAAATAGCTGCATCTCACTTTTATTCTTATATAATATTGTGATAGTTTTATAATTTTCATTGCATATTCATTGATAAATGCATATCCGGGTGATATCTATGATTATATACTTGTTGTAATTGTTATGTCAATAGCTAAGTAACACAGAATTTAAGAAATCTCATAATTATCAGGATTATATTTGCATGAATATAAAATATTCCTTAATTTGAAAGATTAAGTAGAAATCTGATTAAAAAAAAATAGCAAGATGTAAGTCATTAGACATAAGCCAGAATAGATTTTCAAAAGAAAATTTAAGCACTCATTATTTTAATAGTTTCAATGACTGTGTCTATCAATACTAAAGTAAGGATACACATTACCACAAAGGATGCTAACTTTTTTTTTAATTTTATATATATATATATATATATATATATATATATATATATATATATATATATATATATATATATATATATATATATATATATATATATATATATATATATATATATATATATATTTCTATTTATTTACGAGGGGTTATCAAAAAGTTCGTGGACTGATTCGATAAAATTAATACTATGTAGTCTGTGCTTACAAAATTTATAGGGAACATAAATCAACAAAAGTTTAAGAAATGTTGAAAATTTTAGCTCGATATATTGATAATTTGCCAAATTATTCTAAAATAAAAAAGACATTATATGATCACCCGGCGCTGTCGCCGTTTTGTTTCATGACGTCCGACAACGTCATTGTTTCTCAATGACCGCTCTATCTACTTCATACACTTATCTTGATGAAATTACCTGGAGTAATAAGTAAGACTTAATCCCGTCTTGTTTATATGACTTTACAATGTCATGAACAACTACTTTCAATGCATATAATATTGTAAATGGATCTATACATAGATCTATACATATTCATTTTCTACCACACATGATCAACGTCACTTTTCGACGTGACTGACTTTTGACACAATAACTACAAATCGACATTAACTGTGCATCTTTCATCTCTCTGAATCTTTTTGGGTATTTAAAACGAGTACTTTGGATGCATTTTATTTTTCTGTAGCCTGTTTAAACATTCCCTAGGTCTATACCAGTTTTTCCAGGTGCGAAACAATATAGAATGTAGGAAAAAGAAACCCCTCCCCCTTTTTGACGTCATTTTCAAGCCCTTGATTGTTTAGACACTCCGTATAAAACTTACGATAAAATTTCATAGAACTTACAGAATGGGGTAAAAATTGCAAATTTTACGGAACAATTGCGTCGTACCAAATATCTGAATTAACGGGATTTTTTGAGGACAAATGCTCATATCAAAAGAGTTTTTATTAGTAACACTCAAGTAGAAAAAACGTCATATTTGAGGTTGCGCCGCCTGGACATACCATTCCTTACAAAAACATTAACAATTTATTAAAAAATAAAACTTATGATTTATGGTTTATCCTATAGATAGAAAAGATGATGCTAATTAAATGTGTAAAAATTCATTGATGTACCTAAAGCGGTTTTAATTTTATGGCGCTAGTCCACGAACTTTTTGATAACCCCTCGTATTTTTTGTTTGACAATTTGATTTTTGTCTATGTGCTGATATACACAACCTTATAATGACAGGACTTCAAAATATCTAGGTTGAGTTCAGAACAAAATTTTGAATTCATGCTGATTAATGTAGATAATTTTAATCATTTTTTTTTTTTCATTTTTTTTCAAATGATATTATAGAAGTTTATTGATTTCTTTTTCAGGCTTACTTAAATTATAGAGTTCTCTCTTTCTTCTTCTTCTTCTTCTTCTTCGTACTTCTTGTTTCTTATCAGTTCATGAACTCATTCTAATATAGACATTAATCAATATCGACGAAAGCAGATATCCTCTGTTTCCTTTTTCCAGATGTTCTATGTAAGTTTGCTTATTCTTTTACACTGGATTTTCATGGCCCGTACGCACCACGTGACACCTATAATACATCATGTTATGCTGAGGCATCTGGTGAGGACAGTGTATCAGATGTGGACGTCTATTTGAGTTTTGGTAGCATAACTTACTGCAACAACAGCCAAGTGGTACCGGTGGGTAGAAATCAGAGTTGTTCCGAAGCTACAGTACAGAACAGGACTACTTATTATTTTTCACTACCAGGTAAACTGTGGGACTGGCTTGTTTTCCTATCACAAAATCTGAATTTTATTGCCCTCTGTTTTTGAAAAAGAAAATGTCCATTGTACAATATATAAAAAATAACTAGGTAAATTATTCAAAAATTCCTGTTTCTTTTTTGTAATCTTTTCCTAAAACACATTGTGTTATAGCATCTTGGAACATACATACAATATGCACATCTTAAGAGTGTTTTTTCCGTAAAAGAAAAAGAGGAGAAAAGTAAAATAAAATAGAACAGATGTACTTGTCAGCTTGCATTTTCTATATTTTACTAGACCTCAGAATTAGTGACAGTGGCACATACTCGTGTAAAATTCACAACAAGACAACGGGTGCACTCAAAATCAGCATCCACCAGAATATAAGTGTTGTTGGTAAGCAGAAAAAAAAATCATAATTTATTTTTTTTTTACTTTTTTTATCTTATTTTATTTTACTTATTTATTTATTTTTGAAACATTCATCATCACTGAAAAAATTTGATTTAATATAAATAATGTTCCAAAGAGAAATTAAATTTACAATAAAATGTACACAATAACAGTACACTGTATGAGGCAGTATTTGTAAGCCTCTTAACTCGACAATTAAATAAATGAAAAATAAGCATTCAACTAAGTGAGAGGTATCTGTTATCAGATTATGATAGAGTGAGAAAGAGGAAATAGATTTAGAGAAAAAAGTTATTATAGATAACAACAGTATTTAATATGTGAATTAAATTTTAACAAAATGAATTGTTTTCTGCAGACCCGTCTAGTATTACAACTCAAACTCAAGTTCATGTACCAACAACGCAAGGTAATATATATTTTTTTCTTTTTATTTCATTTTTAACCTATAAATGTCCTCTTCCTGTCTTTACTTTTGTTACGAAGTACATGTACTAGTATATTAAAAACAAATATACGTCAATATATATTTACAAGGAACTCCATACCACATTAGAGTTGTTTCCTGCAAGTAAAGAGTACAAGGCCATCTTTAAAAAATGTTTGGTTATCCTTTCCCAACCGACTGGATTAAAATGACCCGACTCAAAACTTTTTTTAACCTCCAGGAAGCAGCATTCCGAAAAATAGAGTTTGAAAATTCAGCATTGATTTTGATATTTTCATTGAAAAAATTTTCTCACTTACCTACCGACTCAATTTTTTCATCCTTAGTCGGGAAAGGGCAAGCAAACACCATTTTAAAGTTGGCCCAAAGAAGTTTTTTTTCGGGATGGGGGTTGGGGGTGTGTTCAGTTTTTGCACGTTTTAACACATTCACGATACACAGTTGTTTATGTTTTTAAGTGTCTATTATCTAAACTTTTATTTGTATAATAAAAACACGTTACGTAAATTAATATATACTTGTAAAAATCGCTAATGATATAAATCCAGTGTTAATCAAAAAAATCAATGTTGCCTTATATCATTTGTTGATTAGCAATCATTAATTATATATTTGTACTATTGATCACCCACCATTTCAACTAATAATTATAGGTACAAATAATACTGTCCTAAATATACCGATATTAGTTATCAATGTTAATTTTGGTTTTCATTTATAAGCTTAAATAAGTCAATTTATGAGGACATTAATGATGGATAAAATTAAATGCACTTACAACAGTATATAATCAGTGGATTTAATACTTCTATTGGATTTTATTTGCTATATTGCACCAAAACATCCCCATATTTAGTATTATTTAGAATGATTTCATTCATTTCACCTTTATTCTTATTTTTGGTTGTGGACATTTGTGGAGGTGATACAAACAGCAATTATGCAATCGATTAAACTTTCGTATATTTTTTGGATATTATATGACATAAGTTTTCTATCTACGTGTGTACATGTAGGTACATTATACACATGTTTAATTATTCTATCGCAAATTAAAATTTGATGTAAATTGAAATTAGAGTGAGACAGACAAATTAATAGTCTCTGTTTACATCCAAATAGTCGCTGTCGTTATCCAAACAGTCACTGTCGTCATGCAAATAATTATAAAGTCGCTGTCATTACCCAAATAGTGTCTCTTTTGACATCCAAATAGTCTCTGTCGTCATCCAAATATCTAGTTGCTGTCATTATCCAAATATATAGTCGCTGTCGTCAACAAAATAGTGTCTCTGTAGCATTCAAATAGTCTAATCCGTAATCCAGATAGTCGCTGTCGTCATCAAAATAGTCACTTTGTCTTAAAAATAATAGCTGACTTCACCAAAGCTTACTTTTTCCTAAATGCCTCATAAGCATCAGGTATTAGGTTTTTTAGGTTAGTTTTAATTAATTTTATTAAGGGGAAGGGGACAAAAATTAATGTACACTAAATTTTGTCTAGTCCGCACACCCTTGGTTTCAAAAAATGTGGCCAGAATAGACAATATTTTGGATTAGACAACATTTTAAGTAATTGAATTTACTGAAAGGGTCTTAAAGTTAATATTGTAATAGACAAGAATTTGGAATACACAACATCCGGATTGGACAAGTTTTACTGTATATGTGTACGTCGAACTTTTATTTTTCTAACAACATAATATATTATAATTCCTAAAATAATACAATAATATATATATTTTTTATAGCTGATGGCACTGGAGGCTCCACGTCAATTCATACCCCAACCTTCTCCGTATTTCTACTTGTGTTAGCAGCTTTAGCATTTTATACTGATAAATGAATGTTCCTTTCTACATCATCGCAAGAGAAATCCAACATGTAAAAACAGATCATGCGCTTACCCATAAGATGATTCTGAAATTATTTGAGACTGTTCGTTGAATTTAATTATATTGTTTTATGCAAACAAAATTTCGAAAAGTGATTGAAATGAAATAGGTGAAGATAACGAAGGATACAAATCTGTGAAGTTAAATGTCATGATACACTCGACTGTTTCAAGTCAATGGAGTAGCAAAGATGGCGCCAAAAATACAGAGATGCGGGAAAAAACTTTTTTTTATAGAGCAATAGAATTGGAAATAGTAAAATACATCTTATTCTTGAAACTTTAAGCTGAAAATATTATTGATGTTCCTTAAAAATGTTCTCATATAGTTACCTACATATTTTTTTACGAATAAGTTGTCTTATTCAAGCTTGTAGGTGAGAGTATATCCATGTAAATTTATATACTTCACGCTGTATATACATATAATACACTGTATGTATGGCATATTGAAACAATGATGAACAAATTATTGCAAGTAATAGTAAAAAATCAATATTGACTTTCTAAAACACGACAATTTATATACATGAGATATAGAAGTTGTACATTTCTTTAAAATTGTATAAAACACTCGTAAGTTCATGGTTAAAGGCGTCTTATTTTAAATTTTATCTTCTACCAAACCACTCTCAAGATTATTTCAAGACTTATCCTCAAGATTTTTTTAAAATTCAGCTGAGTCAGTAATATACAATATATAATTAGTACAAATCTCTGTTACCTTTGGACTTTCAGTAAGGCGTAGCATTCTCGACGCTACATAAATGGCGATCTAGATTCGCTCTGGTTGCTAGCTAATTTATACTCATAACATATCACAAACAACTAGAATGATGTCAGTTTGAATTATTTTGTATCCTTTTATACAAGTTAAGAAAGGAAAACGCGAAATTGTAGAGCATTAATCACTTCTTTCAGCGTGCTGTCTAGTTTGCAAAAATAAGCATGAGTTGGATTTTGTATATCAATGACATTTATTTATTTTTGTGGGTGTGTATGGGGGGGGGGGGGATAAATAGATAATCTCGTGGGAACACTTACGCTGGAAACGTATTAAGATCCTGCATAGCAGGTGTACATTTAGATGGTTCTTTCCATGCATGCAATACGTAGATTTCATAGAGGTTAGGCCCGTAGCCCGAAAATCAACTAGATCTTTACCTGACCTGAGTATTTCACTCGTCAGCTTTTAAGAAAAGTTCCAGTCAGATTAACCTATTACTTCAAAACTATTTATTACAATTCAATTTTAATTACATATTTGATTTAAACAATGCAAATTACACAACATTCAATTTAAAAACTGCTCACAAAATCATAAAGAAACAAGATTTATTGGGGACTATTTCTTGTGACACATTCTTCAATTCTACAAATTAATCTCTGAGTAAAAATATGATGGGTCAAACCTCCAAGATATTCTTGGAGGTTTGACCCATCGTATTTTTACTCAGAGAATTCTTTTCCTTTATTATATGCTGGGAATATTAAATATAGGTTTCAATTAATATTTAAGAACAAATTTTGCACATTCATTTGTAAACTTTGCCAAGAAAAGAAGATATATTGAAAAGGTTAAAATAAAATTTACACTGTTTCTTGCTTGAAAATCACATAATTATTTTAAATAATATCACAAAAATAACATCACTGACCTCAACTTTTTCTTTCATTATTTTAAATTACACGATACTTCCAACCAATCAGCACTAAACTAGGTCATAAAAAGTTTGATTCAAGAAATTTTTTTTTACTTTTAAGATTTTTAATACCCCAAATATGATATTTGTAGTGCAAAAAGTTTACACAATAATTTATGCGCATTAATTTGCTTGCTTTGTTCAAAGATAAATATTATTCAAACTATTTTACGTAAAATAAGATTATATTTAATGCCATGATTACATCTGGTAAAATATGGTGAAGGTTTAAATGACTAACATGAGAGTTACAATCTAAGTGCAAAAAGGTCAAGCAAATTGTACCATTGCTCAGTAAAATGCACACTGACCTCCAATTTTCTTTGCAATTTTGAGTCATGTTATATGATTATTTATCTAAAATATGCTTCTCAAAAAGTCCATAATAAAACTAAGGTTACGATTGACATACCTTAAAGTCAAGATCTAGTAAATATTTTAAGACTGTCCTTCCGGTGCTAGATCCATTATGACGTCAATGTCACGTCATAATCAATTTAAATCTTTTTCCCGTACTTTACGTCTCTTATATCAAAATGAATTTTAATTATTATACCTATACTTGATTCCAAAACTCCATATAAATCCTTACAAACATACAAAGCGGGTTCCAGTAAATGTTCTACCAAGCCTCTTTCTTTACTCCTCATTAAAATTTTTACAGTGAAGGAGAAACATCAGGGGTACCGTGCAACAGTATATTCGACAGTGGTGTGAATCAGATGTGGATACTTAATAACGCCAAGAAACTTTTAGATAATTTGGAATCACAAAATATTAACAAAATCAACAAGCATTCTGAGAGTATTTCATTAGCAATACTAGTCCCCTACCGGCAAGTGTTATCTGGTTCCCGTTAAAAATTGAAAATTCCATAATTCCGTCAAAATCAATGAAGCGGAACGAAATGCAAACTTCTATAACTCATCAAGGTAAAGTCAGATACCAAAAATCAGCTCAATATCTGCAAGCGTTTAGAAAAAAAAAGTGCGGAAAACCAAGTGGGTCAGACTGACAGACAGAGGGACAGCTAGACAGAAGGACGGACAGACAGACAACTAGACAGACAGACGGATGGACAGACTCAGAGGAAACCTATAGTCCCCTCCGGTTTCACCGGTAGGGGACTAATAACATCAAAACGTACGACTTTTCAAAACTTTATACAACCATTCCCCACGATAAATAACAATAGTTACTTTCGACTCAATATATCCCAGTGAGTTTGAAAGAAAAGATACCACCGATTCTGACACATCTGTTTCATATTTAGATATTTTACGCTAATGGTTACCTAACCACAAAGTTTTATGATAAACGTGATGACTTCAACTTTTCAATCATCAACTTCTCTTATTTATGTAGCAATGTACCCTTGTACCTGCATATGGGGTATATGTCTCTTAGTTGATTCGATACGCAAGAGCATACTCTACGAATGAACTATTTCTAAAACGAGGCAAGCTATTGACAAACAAGTTGACGAAACAAGGATATCAACAGTCTCTTTTGAAGTCATCTTTTCGCAAGTTTTTCGGTCGATACAATGACCTTATCAGCACATAAAACCTATCATTGAGTCAGATGCTGACTTACGTTTTTCATACAAATTGTTAGGTCATTATTTATACACAGAACTGTTTACGGATTTTCCAGTTTTTGTTTCCCGATCATGTCAAGGAGCACACGGCGGGTGTGACCGGTCGGCAGGGGATGCTCACTCCTCCATGGCACCTGACCCCACCTCTAAATTTTGAGGTCCGTGTTTGCTCTGCTCCAAATTTGTATCGTTTGATTGGACTTTCGAGATTGAATACTGTTCGTTATCTTCATATTTCACCCACAAGTAGTCTGAAGTTGATATTAAAAAGATGCTTGAGTTTCTGATTGGCAATACCTATGTAGTTTTTGGAGGTCAAGTCTTTCAACAATCTGTTGGTATTCCAATGGTAACCAATTGCGCCCCCTTATCAGCAAACTTATTTTTGCATTCATCTGATGCAGAGTTTATTCAAAAACTTCTACATGAGAAGAAGAAAACACTTATTGTGGCCTTCAATTCGACATTTGGATATATCGACGACGTATTATCAATAAACAACAATTACTTCCATTCATATGTCGACTCGATATGTCACAGTGAGCTTGAAATAAAAGATACCACAAAGTCTGACACATCTGTTTCATATTTGGACATTTTACTATAAAAAGACTTACATGGTAACCTATCAACAAAGATTTATGATAAACATGATTACTTCAATTTTTCAATCGTTAACTACCCTTACTTATGTTGCACTATACCCTTATCACCTGCAAGTGGGGTTTTCCCCCACTTGATTCGATACGCAAGAGCACGCCTTACGTATGAAAAATTTCTAAAACCAGGCAAGCTAATGACAAATAAGTCGATGAAACAAGAATATTAACAGTCTCGTTTAAAGTCATCATTTTGCAAGTTTTATGGTCGATATAATGACCTTGTCAGCAAATACAACATATCATTAAGTCAAATGCTGACTGAAGTTTTTCATACTAATCGTTGGGCTATTTACTGAAATGTCTACGGATTTTCCGGGTTTTTTTTTTTCGATCATGACAAGGAACACACGGCGGGTGTGATCGGTTGGTACCTGATCCCACCTCTGATGTTTTTGGAGATCCGTGTTTGCTCATCGTCTCAAGCCACGGTCCAGAGTCCGCAAATTAGCTCTCTCCTATCCGTGGCTGCATGATCACAAAAAGTGTTGTAATCTTGAATATTTACGCCTCTATATTGTGAAGTCATGTTCAGCCAATGACAATATTTGTTTCCATCGCGTTTGAAATCAACAAAATTTTGACATCAACAGTATACAAGAAATATTTCGTTTACTTCGATTGGGTATTGAAAGGTTGCGTCAAAGTTCATTAATTATTCGACTTTGCTTTACTCGCATTGGTCAATGTTTTAATGAGCTACAAAATATTCTCTTCTCATTCAACAACGGCCAGAATGGGAGAGGATCGTACATTTTGGATGTGGTTTGCGACGATGGTGTTTGCTCTGCTCCCGATTTGTATTGTTTTAATGGAGTTTGAGCTTGAATACTGTTCGTTATCTCCATATCTCATTATACAATTCTGTAGAAAATGAAGTATTTTCATAAAAATTCAATTTGAAATCCTGTGAAAATTGATCCCATCACCTATGTTTATTATTATTTCAAAGAAGAGGCTAAGAACATATAAATTACCGTTGTTTGACAGACTGTAGGCAATCTGGATACATTCCATTTGTCTGATATGAAAAAAAACCTCCCATGTTTATAACTGCTTTTCTCAATTTTTCATTGAAAACGAGAGTTTTAAACATAATTTTCGTCTTGTTTACCTACAAATTATACCCCGAAACAACTTATTTGACCAAGCTAAAGTTATAAAGCATCATACGATAAAGTAAATTATTTCTCAAGTCTGGGAAATCTGTAGGCACCTTTAATTTATTAGGTCTTAATCTAAATAAAGTGTTACACAGGCAAAACACCCGTCTTTTGACGTCAAATAAATAGTAGTTTAATAGGCTATAAATATCAATTATTATACTTCTGTTAAAATGTTTCCTATATAAAGTTTAGAAGGTAAAATAACTATCTTTTATAGTCTGAAAATTTCCACGCATAGCAAAGCTATACCCCGGGGTATAGTTTTTGCTATCCACCCCTCGGAAAATTTTCATGCAATTTTTGCCGCCAATTTTGATTTCCTATAATCAGTCTATAGACTGATGATGTCATCTGACTTCAGTAGCATTGTGACGTCATCAAGATTTCAGCTCATTCAGCAGTGTTATCTTATTCCAAATACTTGCTCAAAACTATTATAATTATTCTTTTCATGTTTTGTCTATGAA